CTGGTATCTAGGAAATATTATGGTGTTTATATAAGAACCGGAAGACCATTAAATGCTTTGGAGAACGGCGAGCTTTTTGACGCATTGAAGAAATTCGTTTACAGAGAAGATTACACCGGGTAAAAACGGACCGGACATTGATCGAGCTGCATGAAAGGTACTTTCATAGTCTTGAGAATGATATAATGAAACATTTAAAGCTTCTTCAGTTCCTGCTCGTTCACTCAAGAATATAGCAAAGTATGTTAGACTATGTGCATTTATATCTAATAAGAAAAGAGAAAGTTTCATGATGAATAAGTTGTATTTCAGAATATATGTGTTGGAATCGATTGAGAGTAGGTGCGCAAGTATTTTTTCTAGACACGTAGACTAAATACAAACAATAGATACTGCTCACCATGAAAAGTAAAGATGATCAATTATTTTAGTATTCTTGTCAACAAATGCAAAACGAATAAATTCGATAATCTATGAAAAAGAAATTAACAAAATTTGAGCCCTTGACGGTCCTCATGATAAAGCAGCAATATAGTGAAAACTTAAGTCCGTAAAAAGGTTTTGAACCCAAATTCAATCCGATCCAGATCAGGTTCCGAGTGCACAGAATTGTTTTTATACGAAAGATTATTTTGAAAAGTTTTTCTTACTGTCAAATGGGGATGTGAGTGTGAATAAAGAGAAGTCATACATTCACACCCACCCAATTTTGGCTATGTGAACCTCTCGAGTCCCGACTTTGTTTTCAAAAATATAGATTTTTATGAGAAATCTTTTATTTTTGGACGAGATTATAGTCCTGCGCCAATAATACATTGATAGTTCATTTTCATATAATAGTCTTCAGGACAGAAATAAAGGTACGTTTTGATCGCCACAAATATCCAGAATCATATCGAAAATTACGAGATGTTTTGAAGCTCTTCTTATTGTAATGTTTACATAGCAGGCAAAGAAAAATATCGAGCAGTTAGATGAAGAAGAGATCTTTTGTTAAAGATCTTCCGATAGTAACTGATATGTATAATCTGTATTTTGAAGTTTATACTATATGTATTTGGAGTAGCAATTATATATTCCTAGAATGATTTCACAACTTTAGTCTGTGATCAAAGATATAAAATGCTTTTCAAAATAATCAATGAATAAGGTAGTAAAATGTTTGCTTCATAGCACAATTTATTCGTATTTATGTAGTGCTGATATGCTAAACCAAATAGTCAAACGTATATCTATATTTCATCGGAGCTGAATGAATTAAAAATAGCTCTAAGTTAGAATCATTGATTTTATGTGATTTCTAGTCAGTTAGAATGATTTAATGTAAATTATAGCGATTTATTTGATTCGATGGGAATTACGCTGATTTATCTGGATTAGTTTTAATTTTAAACCTGATTTAAATTAGTTGCTTTCACCTTGATTGAGGCTTTATTTTTTTTTAGTCGAAAGTCGATAATGAATCTGTACAATTATTATTTGATGATCTTTTGCGAGACGAATAATTAGTAATAATTGCGTGTGATAACAATCGTTTATTATTTTTCTGAACTTAAAATCTGATTCTGATAGTTATTATGAATATATTACAATTATAATCATTCAGATTATGATCAATAATCAATTAAATACAATGAATAATTTAAAATATGAACAAAATTCTTATAAAAATCTCTGTTTATCATGTTTTAAGTAATGCAAAGGATAGGATTTACTTTTATCTCTATTCTCTCTCTCGCTTGATTTAAAAACGAGAGTCCCAAAGATATTTTTCTTCTTTTTATGTTAATGTTTTCTTTACGTGAAAATTCAAGAGGCATTTTACTTAAAAATATTCTTTATAATGAACATATAGTAGTACGAAATTAAAAATGATGGTCTCATTTATTGATGAAAAACAATATTCAAGTAATAAATTAATAATGATAAAATATAAAATTTGTTCGCTTTGTTTTTGCGTATAAAGCTCTAAAAAGAAACAAAATATAATGTTATATAACAAGTATCAGAGAAATTGATACTCTGAAAAATTCAAATCTTGCAAAAAAAATCCATGAATTTGTTTTTGGAATATTGATGTTGGTTTTTTTTCATACTCTATATAGGTTGTTTTCCAGGGTCGCCAGTTGATACGGTTCATTTCTTTCCTTTCTCTCCTAGACATGTATGTCTATATGTACGATATTCATGTATGTCCTTGTCATACGAGGACAAATTTATTATGAAATCGTACTAAATAACCTTGAATATATATGAACGATATAGATGAGATATATTCGACGAACGAAGAAAAACAAGAGAATAAATTAAAGAATCAAAAAGATGAAAATAATAAACAGTAAATATGTTTAACTACATTTAACATCGCTGTAACAATTTTTCTCTTATAAACTTACCCTCACCGTCAAGCACTAATGTTTCGTTATCTCTAGTATCAATTTTATTCAAGATATGACTTTCTTTCTTTAAACCAGAGAATAGTATGCAACTTATGTACAGTGTCTCTCCGTTTCACTCAATTGATTCGGAAAAAAATTATTTTTAGATTAAAACATTTAAATTAAAGGTTTTTCATTAAAATATAAATGGATATGTAATCAACCTAGTTGAATATTAATCTTATTTCATGTTAACAAGTTCAATTCGTTCTTCCTATTCAAATAATTTTCTTTTACACTGATGATAATAAAAAAGATAAACACAATTCTTGCAACTGATAAACCATGTTCTTTCTAATATTAAATAAATTTAAAATTCTTTTCTTAGAAGTTTTTTCTTCTCAAAATTTGAACAAAATTATTCTTGTGAAAATTTATTTGCTAAACCACCAGATGATGACTGATATTGAGCATTTGTTGAAACGTTTCGTGATAGCTGATTTGAATAATATCACATTAATTTAAACTCAACTTCATTCTTGAGATTCTACCAGTACAGATGAAACATTAGCATTGTAATTGCTATGCACTTTATTTTTTACTTACTCGAATTATGACAGTCATATATCTAGTTTTCTGTTTCCAATAAAAATCGTTCTTTGTTTTTTATTCAATCCTTATTTTTAAAAATAAAGATTTCATACAGTTTTTATTTTATATATAAAGTTTTCCTTTATATTCATTTTATAAATGTAAGAACTATGTGTATTTTATAAAAGCAATAACACTTCGATGTACACTGAGACGGTCGTAGTGTTCGTTTTACTATGTATGTATGACTTGTTTCTATTCTTGTTCTTTTTTTCTCTTCGTTTTCTGCTTATTATCCTTCTCACCGTACTGTCAATGCCAATGAAGTCGTTTCTTTTATTCGTATGCATATTCTTTTTTAGAATGGCTATGGAATACTCGACAATTCAATTTGGTAACAAACAACCAGTCTCATCTATCTCAATCTAGCAATAAAAACCGTTTCACTTGTGTCATTATCTTATCATGATATGTTAGTCAAGAAGACAGAAAAATGTCAAGTTAATATATCAGTTATTTTGTCGTCTTCTATATGCTGTATATGTATAATGTTCTTGTCAAGCAAATCACAAAATAATTTGTTAATACTTTGCACGAAGCAAGTCAAATTTATAAGCTGTCGCTACCATTCTCTAGTGTCTTATGCGTTCCATTTTTGTTTCTCTTTTTTTTGCCATACATAGAAATGGACTAATTTGTTTGTGACCAAAGATAGAGAGATAGCCGTAATTTTTACAGTTTTCATATTTGTGTATGACTTTTCTTTTTCTGGAAGGTCCGCTATAGATATATAGCTTACGTTATTCTCCATCAGCTGATGTATAAAAGGACTGCAGATCTATTCATCTAATTGGGCTAGCTGTTAGCTAAAGCAGTCGTTAACATAGTATCGATTTCTATGAGAGTTACCTAATTTCCTTCTTTAGCTTGTTGTTCGAATGTAATATCTTCTTTCGTATTCAAAAAGTTCGTGTTCAATATTGCTCCAATAAGAATAAGCTCTTACTAAAATTCCATACAGAGTTAAATTATCAAAATAACCATGAGCATTTTCGAATACTTAACTTCGACAAGTATTCGTAATTCTTTACTAGTAAACAATACTTTGCACAGATAAATCGAGTTTTCCTTCCTAATCTTGGCATACGCTCTTGCGAGACATGATAAACCATAAGATAGTTAGACCGTTGATTGAAAAGTTTCCCAAAAATGATCAGGACATCAAAGTATGGAAGATATATACTTCTTTTATAGGGTACAGTATCTCCTTAAACAGATAGATATCTCACATCTTCCTTGATGTTTGCTACATTCTTCATTTCTAAAGTTTAATTAGTATGACGAACGGATACAAAAGTTCCTATATTGCTTAGTCTTCATAATGAAAAACAATCTTAATCGTATAATAGTTCAATTGAGATGCCTCGAACCTAACAGAAAAATGTTATAAAAACATACAGAATCTTTTCCCATAAAAACTACGAAAAAAACGTGTGATAGATGATGATTGCACTGATAGCGTTGGTGAGACACACATCTAATGTTTATCCCATATCGTTTGAAAGGTCAGCCAGATAGAGCTGACGTTTAGAGTTTGCGGTTTCTTTACGTGCTGTTTGATTTATATTCATAAAAAGGAATAGATCAAACAGTTTTATAAGACAACCTATTACTGAGATTCTCGATTCCGTTGTGAAGCATCTCTTACAAATTTTATCACAAAATCTTTTTCTTTAGAGTGTGCTGGTGGCTTTTTTTTCAATAAAATAAACGAACTTGACTTTGTGATCTAGAACGAAAATGATAAGTAACGAACACCAAAAACTTCTCCAATCAACGATAGCCACAATGAGAGAACATGGCCAGGACATAACAACCAAATTCTACAATACATTATTCAAAGAACATCCGGAATATCGCAGTTTTTTCAATCAAACAAATCATTCATCAGGAAAGCAACCAGCAGCATTCGCCGAGACCATCTTTCGTTTCGTAGAAAATATTAACAATTTGGATGTAATCCAACCACAGATGTATCGTCTCTCAAGCAAACATCGTGCTGTTGGTGTCACACCGGAACAATATCCAGTTATCAACAAATATCTATTACAAGCAATTAAAGAATATTTGAAAGATAAAGCGACACCTGAAGTAATGGCAGCATGGCAAACTGTACTCGATCTTATGGCACAAACTTTTATCAAGCGGGAGAAGGAATTGTATGCTCAACTTGGTGAAGATAAAGGTTTCATTCCATTTTCTGTTGTCAAGAAAGAACAAATTGCAAGTGGACCAACATATACTTTCACACTTGTACGTCAAGATGGTAAAAAAGTCTGGCCTCATATTGCTGGACAATATATTACAATTCGTATTGAAAAAGATGGTGTACTCCATCATGGACACTATGTTCCTGTTGAACCAAGTGATGGCAACACCTATGCTATAACTTGTAGACAAGGACATGATGATCAAAATACCATTGTCTCGGAAGAAATTATTCGCAACCGTGCAGTTGGTAGTACGGTCTTAGTTTCAGCTCCTGCTGGTAGTTTTGGAATTGTCAATTCAGCAAAACATCATTTATTTATTAGTGGTGGTATTGGTATTACTTTTCTGATGGGAATGATCAATGAGTTAAATAAACAAGGAAAATCATCTTCGGTAACCGTAATTCAATGTGCACAAACTGACGATCGCGCTGCCTTTGCTGACAAATTACGTAATATACTTCCAAAAGACCAATATTTACTCTTAACGAAAGAACATCAAATATCAAAAAGCCATCTTCAAGATAAGTTGAAATCAGACACTGATATCTACATATCTGGCTCGGAAGCATTTATCGATGCGGTTGATCGTATTCTCGATGAACTCGGTCATCCAAGATCTCAAATTCATGTCAAATCAGTCGAGCCGACTCTTGGCTTATTAAAAGCTCTCGACCGCAAAAAGTGATTATTTCGTGGAACAATGGTTATTCAACAATAGAACCTTAAGGATGCTACCCATCTCTTTCTCTTATTTTATCCATTAACAAAATTCCTTACTCATATCCAAATATTTTATTATATTGTGCATGTAGTAGTTGTTTTCTATTTTTTTTAATGCTCACAATAATTGTTATCCTTAGGGTTAGGAGACTATTGATAAAATATAAAAAGTGGTTACTAAAAGATGAATATATCAGCTGATTGTTTTTTGAATTTAAATACATTTTCAAATTATCTTTTTCTCCAAACGTACAGATTAGATAAGAGTGGGTAGAGGACACAGATAAGTGTACGTAACTGAGACAGAAGCGAAGAAATAGATAAGAGAAAGAATAAGAAAATTCAAATATGCATGCCGAGTTTCGTGAAATTTGACTTTGTTTATTTTCAGATTAGGAATAGTAAATTATGGAGGATATAGGATACTTGAATAGGAATCTTTTCAACAACAGATGATGATCTTTTTGAAAATAGGATATTGTCTTTTTGTGTATATTGAAAAATGTGAAGAGGGTGTGGGTGTGACTGTGGGTGTAGCTGTGTATGTGGCTGTGGGTGTGGCTGTGAGTGTAGCTGTGTGTGTGGCTGTGGGTGTCGCTGTGGGTGTAGCTGGGTGTGGCTGCGGCCGAGGCTGTGACTGTGAGATGGGTGTTCATCTTCTTGTGGTCACATCCAAACCCACACCCTTTCTACAGGAGAAAAACAAACAAAAAAAGACTAAAAACATAGAAAATAACAATAGCTAATAAATAATCATCTTTGAAAGAGAAAAACAGCAGTGTTATACATCTGAGAAGAGGAAGAGAGATAGATTATAAGAATGATTGACCGCCCGCCTATATAACATCTATATAGATGCTGATTCTAACAGTAATAATAGGGCAAAAACTATTATCATCGCCATAAAACTTATAAACAATATGTATTACATTGACGCATAAGTTCTGAGAATTTTTCTTTCTGCTTTAACAATAACTTTATTTTTCAACAAAGATATGCAACATCAATCAACAATATAATTGCCATTGTTTTATCTTAAAAGTGACCGACCTGGGCGAATCAAAAAGCCGTCATCCTTCTCTATGACAACAGTCGACCTCATGTGACACAGCTGACTTAGCAAAAAAAACGAACAGTTAGAATGGAAAGTTCATCCGCACTCATCGTGGTCAACAGACCATGCACAATCCAGTTATCATCTGCTCCTATCTCTTCGTGACTACCTGTGCAATAAACACTGCGAAGACGTCGATGAGCTGAAATCCGATCTAGCTGCCTTTTTAAAATCAAAACCGGGTAGTTTCTACAGACATGGAATTGAACTATTGCCAGAAAGATGGGCGAAGGCTTTCGAAAATAACAGCGATTATATTGTTGACTGATGTTGCATACCTTTGTTGGAAAATAAATTTATTGTTAAACCAGAAAAAAAATTCTCAGAATTTATGCGCCAATGGGATAATTATTTTTACTACCGACATAAAAATGATAATTGGATTCGCTCCTCAATCGAAGGCATTTTATCTGTAGTGTTGATTTTTTGATATGGCTGACCATAAAATAGTTGTGAACTCTTATTCCAGTGTAGGTCAACTATTCGTTCACCATTTGTATGCAATAATGATTGATCCTAAACACAATATCAATTTAAACTTGTAGAAACATATAGCTTCAAAATTGGGAGGACTAAACGGAGAAAAAAGGTTTCGAAAATTAAAACCAGTTTAAAACCCTTTTCAAGTTCTATGTCGCACCATTTTTTCCGGTATAGAGAGGCATCCATTATGATTGAACTCAAATTCTTGAATATTATGAAATTTCATACTTATTTTTGACTAAACCAGTTAAGAATTCAAAGAATTGTTTACTTTGTAGCAGCACACCATTTTGATCGTCCGATCTTGTTGAGAAAAAGAACCATTCAGTGTGAATAAACCCAAACTACCTTCTCCAGAGCCACTGAATGTTTCGGTTTTCGTATCAAAATTAAGCTCGCAATAATATGGGTCTTGTCATTTGTCCTTTGAACCATGTCGATACATCCACATACCGGATAGAAATATGTTTTCTTGATATTCTTCATTATTCATCTACAATAAGAGAATCGTACATTCGAAATGAAGATAATCTGGTATGTCGTTTTCTTACCGTCAAATCATCATTCAATGACTGCATAGATAAAGAAAGTTTGGCAAATTGATTATTTTCCACAGAACTTGTATATTGTTGCATATCTGTCAGATCATTTACTAGATCATGCTGTTCAAGTTGCTCTGTGGGAAACATCATTCTTAATGTAATTGCCCATATTTAGATCGACAGCATGTTGAGTGCATTCATTGTGGAGTTCCATAAATTGCAAAGAATAATTTTTGTTATTCCGTAGTCGTTTGAAACGACTAGCATTAGTAAAAGTAGTAATGAATTTCAAACATTTCTGGAGAAAATTAGCAAAACTTTTCAAGGCAATTTTTACTGAGTCATTCAATACATTGTCGAACTTTTGCTCATGTAAAAATCCAATCAAGACATCAATACGTTGACTCAGTCGCAGACATTGTTGGTGGTTTGTCTTGTTTCGTATAACTGTTTCATGAATTTCTTTTCCAATCGTATATATCACCTGGAGGGGTATAGATACATTTTTGCCAGCGATTTTGAACAGATCTATTGCGGGATCAGCGAGAGCTTGGGCAATGGTACTCATGTTGTTCGAAAATATTGTTATTGTTTTCTTTCAATGTGAAATTCATGTACAAGTGTTATTTATTCGTGTCGTTGTAATTAAGAAGAAGCGCGATGTTTGGTTTTTTCCTGTTTAATGATTTTTACATAATCATAATAATAATAGAAAACTAAATAATAAACTATGCGTCATTAATTGAACTGTAACAGATGAATAATAACGTGCCATATGTACACACAATCATATATAAATATCTTGACTGTTGGAAGAAAGGAAAAAACCTAGTGACGCTCGTTTACATCAAGCTACGCTTATTTTCTGTTACATTCGTACTAATTAAACATATATAATTTACCTGTGTGTCAATACACGTTGGCGGATAGGTTGAAAGCTCGGAGAAATATAAATAAATCATTTACATGTGGGAATTTTTTCATTCGAAAATTCGAATAAAAAATTTTTCCTTTGTAGCAACAAAAGCATAAGCTTTTTGTACATAGTTTCTGTGATTTATCTATTAATATGAAGTATTGAAACAACTTATTTCTTGTTCAAGTATGGGTTATTCCATGGAAGTTATTCTACGAAAACACAAGGGTCCTTTCCATTGAGCAAATATGCCTTTATCTTGTAGGACTTGATGAGCTGTATTTATGGTAAAAATATCAGGTCTCACGCTCGTTCCTTAACAGAGATATATGGGTCATAAAGTTGCTTGTAATATTGAAAAAACGAAAAAGTTGAAAAAAACAAAATTTTGTGCTCTTGACTTTTTCAACATTACATAGGGTGTGGGTATGAGTGGATGTGAGTAGGTGTGGGGTGTGGATGGGTGGGTGTGGGTGTGGGTAGGTGTGGGGTGTGGGTGTTGGGGTGAGTATGGTGTGAAGAGAAGACCCACACCTAAACCCACAGCCACACACAATGACACCTCACCCACCCACACTCACACCCTTTGTACGTTTTTTAGGTGATACATAATGAGCTACCATATCATGAATGTTGAGAAAAGTTTTTTAATGATTTTGAAAACAAAAGAGAGAGGTATTCGCCAAAGTTA